ATTTTCTCCACAGCATACATAGTTTTATACACTTCTGTGATGCCCTTCTTATTCAACTTACCCTGTAAAAGCCATGTTGATATTTCATGTTGATTTTCCTCCTATATGCTTCATCATTTAATCTTAAATAATGTCTTCCATGAGTTTGCTTGTCACTCAGGTTGCTTCTCTCATCCAGTATTAGACTGTTATATTTGCTAAGGTTTTCCTTACTCCCTCTCCCCTTTCTTTGTGTTTTCTCTCTGCAATTTCATGTGCCACTTTTCCCCCTTTGGACTTTATGGCTTTGAAAGCATAGTTTAGGAAGTATATCAAGTATGGAAACAAACTGCCACCAACAGACGATCATTTTCTCATTCAGTACTGGCTGGAGTGATGGACAAGTAGAAAATACCTGTGCTTACTGCCAGGCGTTTATTAAGCAGGTACACTGAAATCAGTCCAGACCACTTGAATGCCTTTTCTGGAAGAAATCATTAGAAGCTATCAAGGCACCTTGTCCTTCAATTGAATCCACTTAGTCACTGTCACTGGTACATCTTGTTTCTTTAGCACCTAGTTGACCACCCTCATTGGCATGTCCTGCCATTTCTTCAGCCTTGAGGGTATTGGATCTTAACTCTGCTTCAATGGCTTCAGCCACATGCTGCATGGGCTCTCAGACTCTTTGGTCCTTTCCTTGGCCAAAACAAAAAGCAACAAAAAAGCCCTATGAAAAGAGGCCAGGATATCAAAGCCTTTGACGTACAGAAGAAGAAGAGAAAGGAGTCTTAATGGCATGCATTCCTGAAATGCTTAGTATTGATCCTGGCTCTTCTTCAAATCACTGGAACCATTTTTTAAGTATTGACCACTCTACAGTCCTCTGGCATAGATGCTGATCTTATGGGCATGTTAGATATTTGTTAAAATATTAGCAATTTCATAATTGGGTTAAGAACTCTCAAATGGATACCATCCAAATCCAGTGATTTGTTTGTTTTCAATTTGTCAATAAGGTCCAGAACTCCATCTCTTTTGTCTTCATTATTTGCCTTAGTTTTTGATACAGTCCCTTTCCTTAAGCTCCAGTGTGCAATTTTCCATGCCATTAAAAAGATTTGCTTTTAATATGTTTTAAGTAAATTGCCTTCTTAAATGTTTATCATTCACCTTCTGGTTCTTGTATTATTGAAAAGGTAAACAGGACTTGCTAATTCATTTGTCCATTACTATTCATAATTCTACTAGCTGTCTGCTGCTTAATGTTTACTAGCTTTTGATCACAGTGCTTTTGGACCACAACTTCAGTAGTATTGGATAACTCTCAAACTGAGAGCTTGTGAGGTGTGGTGGTTAGAGAGTTGAACTGAGAACCTGGGACATCTTGGTTCTAGTCCCCACTCAGTCATGAAGCCCACTGGGTGACTTTGGCTTGGGTTCCTCACAAGATTTAAAAAGTGGGATATAAATGCAATGTAGTAGTAATAACAGAAATTATTGCCTTTGGGAGAGTGGAGGAATAAGAGAGGGAGAAGCTTTGGCTTCCCTTCAGGGATTCAGTCTATATCATATTTGGTCTTCTTCCTCATCTAATTTGACTTTCCCTAACATTATGTCTTCTCCAGTAAGCCTTGCATTTTCATGGTGTGCCTGCTTTGCCATGTTTTCTTCCAGGGAAAGTTCTGGCTTGACCTGAACTAGGAACTACTCATTCATTCTTCTGGTGGCCCAGAAAATTTGCAAAGCTCTTCTCCAGCACCATGTTTTGAACATTCAGTTTTCTTCCTATCAGATTTCTTTGCTAACAATTGGTTTAGCCTGCCATGGCACCACTCTTACTACGGGATGGGAAAGAAATCTTTGACTTTTCCCTCTGTAAAGCAAGTGTTCCCAGGTAATTAAAGTGCTGGAAGGACCCATGTTTTACTATGTACCAAGGGCAATTTTATAGGTACCCATTTTTCCAGTTACTCAGTGTAACTTAGATCTGTCATTATTTTCAGTGAGGCAAACTTATACTCAAACAAGTTTTTTCAAAGACATTTTGAACAATCCCTTCACTGTATAGCCTTTTCATTAATCTTCTTAACAGGTTCCCAGATTTCCATCACTCACCTGCATGTAAAACTTAAGCAGAGGAGCAACTGCTTCATTCTGTGTGTGGGTGATATGGTTTCATTACTTTCCAAGCCTGGAAGATGAAAGAAGCATTCTTCACTATAGGATAAGCTGTGGTTTTCAGGATATGCCATTTTTTTCTCAGGGTTACATCTTCTAGACTTAGGCTGCAGTCCTAAACTCACTTGCCTGGGAGTAAGCCCTATTGAACCAGTGGGACTTACCTCTGTGTAGAAATGCATAAGATTGAATTATTAGGCCAAGATAGGAAGGTGGCTTCAAGGTCATCTTCACTGCTGCTTGGCAATATGACAGCATCATACAGATGCTGTCTGCAAGCTTCACCGATCAGTTGTGTGTTCCTCTCATCTTTATTACAAATTCTGTGTATTACTATAAGACAGCCAACTCCACTGTACTAGGCCCTTTTGAACTATATAACAATGGTTCCCAAATGACATCTCTTTTACCATGACAGAAAATTACATAGTGAGAACTAGTAGAAGTATTCCTGGTGGTTTTTGATTTAACATTTCTTTCCAATTTTCCAGACTGGATTTTGAATGTGTTCTTGGCATTCTAAGGACTATAACAGGGCTTCCAACTTGATTGGACCCATGGCCACATCTGGCACTTAAAAAGGATGGGATTGAACACCTATGATTGGTTCCCTGGGTCATGTACCTCACATATTTCCAGATAAAGAACCTTCCTGAAAACATTGCTGGAATATCCCAGAGAACAAATGGTAGACAAGTGGCAAACTCACCTGCCCAGTACAATGGATATTAGCTCCGTTTCTCCCATTTTTCTCCTTCTTTGTGTCAAGGAACAGGAGATTTTGAATAGCCAGCCACAGCTGAAGTGGGATTCCAGCTCTTCAGGGGTAATTATCCTTCAGTCTGTAGCAATTTAGATCTCATTAAGAAAACCCAAATTAAACCTCCTCACATTCTGGCCTACTTAAATTCCATTGGGATATAAAGACCTCCCTGCCTCACAGCTGTTCTCACTTGATCAGAGTGCAGGAAGGAGAAAGCTTTTCATCTGATATGCTGCAGGACCTCTTTGGAAAATTCAGTGAATCTGTGGGAGCTAGAAGAAAACCAGCAAGAAACACCTTATCCCATAGAAGTATCTGCCATGTGTATAGACTTTCAATGATGTGGACAGGCCATGCAAGCCACATTTTTTATTCTCTTTTGCTTTATTCACATGTCTCCCTCGAGAAGGTTCCTAGTGATTGTATCAAACAGACAAGCTGGTCAAAGCCTGGAGCAGTCACATTTTCCTTAGACCCTGAAACATGAGTCCTTTGGCAAGATTGATGTCGAAATTAGTGAAACTCTTTCCAAGCAACCAGCAACTTTTTCCAACTTCTCATTAAACTGCAGAATCTTCCATCAGTCTTTTACCAGCTCTTTCCCGCAGTCTCATGACAAAGAATACAGAGAAGCAGTTGCTCAACTATTCATCCAGCTCAAAAAGTGACCATATTTATCTTGTTGCTTCTCTGGCAAGCATCTTAGTTGTCTCTGTCTCTCCAACTCTCTTTCTGACCATGGTACTTTTATTAGTATGGACTCAAGGAGATGCTCAGATCTACTTAAGCCATCTATATTTAGAACTTCACCTAAGACAGAATTTTAGTTCATTAAAAACAACTTTATGTGTTGAGTTTTGCATTTGATTCTGATTGTATTCTACATTGGTCTAATTAATTGGCTTGGATCCTAAAAACTCTTGCATACCAGAAACACCTACAAGCAGAGGACCTTCCATAAAACTGTTAGAGGAGGCACAGGGCACTGAAGGAAGAATTAGCGCCAATGGGTTTCTCTCCTCCTTCCACCAGTACAGACTTTTCTGAATTGGATACATGGAGTGAGCCCTTCTCAGAAAAGCAGGCCATTGTCTTTAAAAGAGAAAATGTATTCTTTTTTTTTCTAGGTGTGTTCCTGTAAGTATATGTTCAGTTATTTTTTCATGACCTGCTATTCCTCTCAAAAGATCTCAAATAGCCATTTTAAAACAATAAAACAACAATCAAAGTAATATAGTAAAAGTGGTAAAATAATGGCAGAACATTAATAAATGTAGTGGTAGGTTTAGAACTAGAGCATGTTTAATAGAAAACCACAATTATCTGGGCCATAAAAGGGTCTTCACAACACCAAAAAGAAATCACACTAAGGTTACATGATGATAATGCTGGATTTAAACCATGGGATATTGTGACTCTGTGACCAAGCATACTGTCCCCCATGATTTATTGCTGTGTTAAAGCTCTTTAAGTTGTTCTCTCTCAAAAACTCAAGCGTCCCCAGTTCAGACATCATGGAGTTGTCAACAAAGCAGAAATGAGGTGGAAGAGATGCATGCTCTGGAGGCAGCACGGTCACAAATAACCCATGGCTTAAGTCACTTGATGTTGTGATATGCAAACCGGATCAAAGTATCGGGTCAGCCTCCTCTGGCAGAACTTTCCATGGTTGCAGAGACTACCTCTGAGGTGATCTTTCTGGCAGGTTCCTATGGGATAGGGCCACCGTTCAGGTAGCTGGATCCCAACCTAATTGGGGCTTTAATGTTTAAAAGTGCCAGAGCATTGTGTATGGGAACATAGCAGTAGCCAGTGGAGTTAGTTTAAGACTGGTGAGATATGTTCCACTCACTTGGTCCCAGTTAGTGGTCCAACCACTTTATTTGGTGCTGAAGTGTCTGAACACTGTACAATGCATTGCAGTAATCCAAAAAGCATGTTACAGAATGTTTACTCTGCATGAATTGCTGTGGCCAAGCTGTCTCTGTTTAGAAAGAACCATATTTGTCTGGTTCTTTATTTTTCCTCCTGCCCCCAATAAATGAGTGATTTCCTTTTTCCTTCTTTTTTCTTGCAGCACTTACGAAAAGTACTTCTCATTTGGATTTAAATGCAACTAGAAAAGGTGCCATCAGCATGACTATCAATGGGATGAAGCTACAGACAGAAGATAAATATTAAAGAAATGAAGGAAAGTGCAATTTCATGGTGAGACATTCAGCTCTACACCAATTTTTTGGCACTGACTGTAGTCAAATCCAACTGTATTTACAAAAGCAGTGAAGATTCCTTGGTACAATTGATGCCAAATATTGATTGAAAACAGCATCCCAATTGCATATCTAAAGTGAGGCAAATTAAACCTGAAGATGACCATACGCTGTGAAAAACCAAAGCATCTTGTGGCATGAAGCATGATCCCTTTTGCTTTATTTCTGACAGTTTTCAACAAACCGTTCATTCCTTTTGTGGATGTTTTAACTTCCAAGATGTGGTAAAATTTTGGTTGAACGATGATATAGGTAAAATATAAGAACACTTTTAATAATCAGGAACTGGTTAATAGGAGCTGTTTTATTTGTGTGTAAATAAGATGTTTTATAACATAGTATAAAGATGTGTATGCATAATAGCATTTTACAACAAAAGGTGCCTCAAACAAATTATGCAATGATTACATTATTGTGCTTAATAATAGAAATTGTTTATATCTGAAACAATGACCTGAATTTCCTCCACTTTGGAGGAAGCTAAGATTACAATCCATGTTTCATTCTGTTTGGGACTACTCTTGTTTGTTGACTTAAGTGCAGCCTGATCCACACAATCCAATCCAAATGTCTCTCAAACTGGAGGAAATGCGGTTAACTGCTTGTTATGAACCACTGCTATGATGATGCATTAGAATAATTTTGTTCCCAAAACCTAAGGCATCCTAATAATGAAATATTTTCACTCTACTGGGTAGAGGAGAACAGAGTCACAGTACCTAATTTTGTACTACAAAATCTCCTACAGACACCTGTAATGTAATAAGCAGGTTGAAAACCTTTGGCAGTAGAGGTTGGTTTATATGAGCCTTAAACCTTAAAAAGAAAATAAAGCAATTTCTAATAATCACTCTACTTCTACTATCGCTTTATTAAGTTCATTGTAATATCACCTTAACTTTGAAGTATTAGTGACAATGTACACTACTTTAGACATATATTGTGAACTCTATTGATGAATTCAGTTATTTTCTTTGTTCATGTTGCTAATAAACCCCCAAAGCAGCCCCCTCTTCACTTGCCTTAATTATTGGTTTATTGTGCATATCTTGGTTCTGATCTATGAATTGCCCTTGGTTTTAATGTTCCAAACCAAGCCACTGTAAGTGTGTTGAGAGGAGCCAACACAGTAGCCAGAGAAGAGATTGTTCAAGTGATATGGATAGTATTGCAATGCCTTAATACTGTCAGCTTTTTCTTTAGTTAACAGCCTACTCTCCAGAGACTTGGTTACTTTTCCAGCAATGTCAATAATGACATCAACTTTAATGAGCAGTAATTTTGAGGGTGTTGCATGCCAAAAATATTTACTTTTAAACTGGTTTACCCTGGTACATGGTGATGATTATGCATGAAGAGCCATGGAAGGAAGGGTTTGATGCTTAGCTTTATCTTGAGTACAAATTACCTGTGCAGAAGGAGGCAAAAGGAGAGCTAGTTATTTATACAAGTATTGTAACATGCTAATATTGAAGCCTCTGTTGAAAGGATTTATTTCTCACAAAGACCTTGTCTATCCTATTTCAATATAATAATTCGATCATCTCATTGAATACCCTATAAATGAACATGCCATGCCAAAAGAGAAAAGGTTCTCTATTTCCTTTGACTGAATTGGATATTTTATTTATTTATTTATTTATTTATTAAAACATTTTTAAAGAGGTCTCAGAAGCTGTCCCTATTTCCTGGGATCTGCCTTCATTTTCCCCAGTGCAGTAGGGTTCTTGATCTGTTGTGTAGCATGCAGGGGGTTGGAGTGGCTGCTATAGGGCAGCAGGAGGAAAGTCTGCTTTTGCCAGCCCCATTATATGCACCTAAGATCTGCATCTAACCTAATAAAAGCAGTTCAAATTATGAAAAAGAAGAGAATCAAATTAAATGAACAAAATAAATCAATTCTGTGTAAAGGTGAGTCTGAACATTAACCCACCCAAAAGGTTTGGTGAAATAAAAATAGTCCAAAGCACCTTGCTTGAAACTTATGGGGGAGTGAACCAACCAGAGATCCTTAGTGATGTCTGGTTGGTTCACTCCCCCTTAATTTTCCTTGATGGCATCGAGGAACTTGTTGTTATACGCCATCAAGTCATCTCCAACTTATAGCAACCCTATGAATGAAAACTCTCCAGAATATCCTATCCATGACAGCCTTGCTCAGCTCTTGTAAATTCCAGGCTGTGGTTTGCTTTTTGGAGTCAACCCATCTCAGTTTTGGTCTTCCTTTTCTTCTTCTGCCTTCAACTTTCCCAAGCGTGGTTGTCTTCTTCATGGAGTTTTGCCTTCTCATGATAGGCACAAAGTATGCTGGCTTCAGTTTTGTCCCATTTGCTTCTAGGGAAAGCTCTGACTTGATTTGATCCAGAACCTACTTATTCATCTATTGTGGCACTGCAATAGAAAAGACCACCACAAATTGTGCTTCTGAAAGTGATGGAATACCCCAGGAGCAGTTAGATGTATGGGAGGCAGATACCCTTCAAATAATGGTTAACACAGTGGTTGAAAGTAGCTTTTAAAAAGACTGAATATAATGAAGTATTACCTTATTAACAACTTTATTATATCAAAACACTTTTTAAAAACCAAAACCAAAAGAGTTTCAGCTTTGACTAGTGAATACTATTCCTTTCTTTCTGTTGTTTAAACTTAAACCAAAACTTCAATAAATGTGTGTTCGTAAGAGAGCCACGCTGAAACCTTAACTTTGGAGCAAAAATAAAAAGGAATGCAAATTAAAACCTTTGCTTTTTCAAGAAGCCACATTTAGAAGATGAATGTTGATTACCTTTGGCTCATAGCTGCCTATTTATTCCTGATCTGCAACTCTAATGCAGGAAAACAAGCCTTTTAGTGACTCCAAAAGTTCCTGTTAAGAAATTTTTAAATGTCTTCAGTTTTACTTAGATAAGACTAGTAAGTACCCTTTGATGTAGCTAGTTTAAGGCAACCTAACTAAAAGTAAGATATTTTAAATAATAGAGCTCGGCTGAAGGAGGGGAAGACTTTTTATTAAGCTTTTCACCCCCTGTAAAACTGTGGTCCCCTTTCTAATGATTTGCAGGGGGAAGCGTGTGCTTAGCAGTGAAATTGTTTGCTCTTGAATAGGTTAAGAGCATGTTCTTGTTCTACTGAGGCACTGTCCTGCTATGTCTGGATCAGAATTGGCATTGGAGCCAATTATGGGGAAATCCAAACAGCCAAGAAGGATGATTAAGCACAAGGGTTTTGGTTCCGGATGGGATTAGGATAAGACGGGAGTGGTCAAGCTACAAGCAAAGGTCAAGCACAGTTAAGTGGTCAGATACATAACACAGTCCAGAACCAGAATCAAGTGGGAGGCCAAGAGGTCAGCAACACAGAGAGTCAATCACAAGGCAAGATGAGAAAACAAGGTACAAACACTGGATTGGAAAGAAAAACAGCTAGACTAAAACTGAATATTTATACAGCCAGAGCTTCCTAAGCCCCATTCAGGGCTTATCCACAGTGCATTACAGGTCCTCTGGCAGAAGTCCTCCTGAAGAGGCAGGTCTTGGCCCTGAAAAGTCCTCCTTTGGAAATGAGCGCATCTTCTCAGAGGAGCCCTGTTGGCCTGCCTCCTAAGGTAACAATGCTCTTGGGTCCCAAGTGGTTTTCTGTCTTCCACTTCTTCCTGTAAGTTCCCAGGCTGCCCCAGATTCAACTTCATTTATTACATTTCTACACCCTGCAATAGGCAAAACTTTCTGGGTTGTTTACAAAGATTAAATATATCATAAACATGCACACAAACATATATACATGCAAATCAATTCCTTCAGGGCTGGAGAACTTATTTCCCCAGTTGGCAACTCAGCTCTCGCTCCTCCTCAGAGAAGGATTCTTCCAACAAGGGCATGACAGGAAATAAGGCAGTGAGTGCCCTGTCATGCAGAGCAGCTAGGAATGGAAATGGAACTGCCTTTGTGGTGCAGAGACAGGGAGTGTCAACCTTGCGAACATGGGGAGCAATTTCTTCCCCCTATGAAAGCAAAGCAAACATTTGGGCCCTGGTTTGTCAAATCAGGCTGGCTAGGTATCACTGTGGACAGGAGAGCCTGGAGAAATGTTGTCCATGGGGTCGTGATGGGTCAGACACAACTTTGTGACTAAACATCAACAAACAAGGTGTCACTGTGCATTGTGACCTCACCTTGCTGAGTATAAGTCCATCAGGCAGTGACTGGGTTCAAGTTGTTGAGGGAGAACAAAATAGTGCCAAAATAACAGCAAAGAGTTAAAACAGAGTGGCTGGATATGCTTATTACTCCCGAGCATGTTTCAAGGATACAACCCTATTTCCAGTCCTAAATTTGTTTGTGGGAGCAGATTAGGCAGAGCACCATTTTCTTACAACTTCGTCAGGAAGCCAACAACTGGCAAACTGAGCTTAGAATGTTGTTTTCTGGATGCCTCTTCCTTCAATTTTAAACAAAGTTACAAAGAAAGTTTAACTGAAAAGTCTAAATGAGGTGGAATTAAAGGAGTTTTTAAAAAGGTTGTTATGGTCTTGCAAACCAATATGTTCTTCCCCAAATTCACCCACTTTGCACTGCTCAGAAGCCTATTTCCACATATAACATCAGTTTGGTTTGCACAAAGAAGAAGGAAAAAGATGATTTGCCTGATTAATCTTGCGGCATGCAGGTTGCCATGGCATTAGAATTTTGTGAGGAATACAGCAGGGAGTGGTTCCCAAACCACCCCAGAACCCGACACCTGGCCCTGGTGGTTGTGCAAACCTGGTCATTCTCATTAACCATGTCATTTGTTAATTATTAGTGATACACATAAGTATAAACCTTGGTGTAATGCATACAAGGACGTGTCTAATCCTTGCAGGATAACCTGTTGGTACAGTCTTTTCAATTGGCTGACTTCCGCCTTTACAAGGGAGCTGCACTGGGCAAGGCTTGGACATTTCACCATGCGCTCAGGTTGAAGTTCAGGACAGGGTTGAAGCACAATTTCACACTGTAGCCAGAGTAGGATGAACCTTGCTTCACATCTTTCTGCTGGTGAGCCTCCAAGGCAGCAAGCAGTCAAACGCTGCACCAAGAAGCAAACTGTTCTCTGCCTCATCACCATAATGGAAACCCAGCTCTAATGCTCTCCTAAGTTCCTCGTGATCTCTGTGCATCACACATATGGACTTTGCTGCACAGCGCAAGGCCTGGATTGGGGAAAACTTCTATGGCTCAGCATCATGGAGTGGCTGGGAGCCTCATCCCACCCCACCCCTTCTGGGAATCTGGATAAAAGATGGGGGGCTCTCACCCAGAATAATCTTATTTGCAGGATAACTTGACTATTGTAATTTAACTCTAAGGTGTTTTGTTCTGTTGGCCAGCATGGTGGTGGCCATCATAAATAGATCTTCCTTGCAAAATAATTCCTAAGTTTCTGTCTTTTACGTCTTATAGTATTAACAACAGAATTTCCCAAGTGCATTACTGAATCCTCTAGCTTTCTGCCACTGCACTCTTACTTCGTTGCTGAAATGCTCAGCCTGTTTCTGGTCAGGGATGTGGGGCTTGTGAAGGTCAGTAAGAAGAATACAGCCCCTTCATTGTTATCCATTTAGGCAATAAGATCAGTCTCAGCAGTGGGTTTGCCAACAAGCTGGTTAAAAAAATGAAAATAAAATAAAAGCAGCAGCTCTTTCTAGTAAAGCTTTTGCAAGTGGATTTTGAAACTCATGTTATGTACTAAAATAAAAAGCTACATTGTCAAAAGACTAGTATTAGATCACATGCTGCTTCATTTTTAAGATTGTCCCACGGGTGAAAGTCAGTATGTTGTTTGTTCTGATCTGCTGAGTGCTACTATTGTTCCTCAGCCCTGACCAAAGTCGAGTGGAGGACAAAGAGAGACAGATTTTGAAAACTGGGAGCTCTATTAAATACGGATTGCAGGAAGGAGGTCCACCCCATTATCACAGTCCAGCAAAGCCTTGAAGACGGGGTTCAGCTTATTTTGAAGTTCA